TCTTTAATGTTGCTTCAGCAAATAACTTAGCTGGCCTGGGTTTCAGCAAATAACTTAACTGGTCTATACTTAGAGCTAGCCTCGGTTTCACTTTCAACTTCATTCTGTTAACGATATAATCTTTATTTTAATTATTATCACACCAATGCTCTCGCAATTGCTTAGCATATTATTTAAAAACATTACACTTCATTCTACAAAAAAAAAAAAAAAAAAAAAAAAAAAAAAAAAAAGATAATGCTATACTAATTCTAAAGCTAAATACTTTATCTCTTCTCTACATATAATAAAATAAAGAGTCTGTGTGTATGTGTGTCTCTCGTTCGTGCTGCGCGTGAGCGAATAGACCCATTACTACGAAATTTGGTACATAGGTGCTTCTAGACAAGAGCCAGTGCGCCTCGAAACGACTTTTTCAAAATTCGAATAAGATTTCTTTTAATTTAATTTTTTTTTTTGATGAAATCGCATCATTTTGAATAGTTTCATTCTTTTTGAAATGTGGTTTTGGGAACAGTTTTTAATTCAATGCTTTGTATACTGGACTGCTGACTGTTGAAAATCAGCACTGTTGCCACTTGGAAAAATGAGGGCGGTAATTCTGTGCAGATTTTAAATTTAATGTTTCTCTTGGATACTGGACGTTTGTTAACAGATGGCAACGGGAAGTTGGTTAATTTATTATTTACTCTTTATTTTATTTATTTATATTCTTTATTTATCTTTTTTTTTTTTTTTATATATTAATATATATATATATATATATATAATAAAATAAAGTCTGTGTGTGTGTCTTCCGTTCGCGCTGCGCGTAAGCTAATAGACCCACGGCTACGAAATTTGGTACATAGGTACATCTAGACAAGAGCCAGTGCACCTCGAAGCGATTTTTTCGAAATTCGAATTCGAATTTTTTTTATTTTATGTTTTGTGACGAAATCACGTCATTTTGAGACATAATAGGCTGTAGGAAAACGAGATTTTACCCTACACACTCCATTTTCACATCGTCATGAAACGTAAGCACTTAGCTATTTTACGAACTTAAAATAAATTTCGTGTTTCAATAAATCGATTAAATACGAATTTATTTAACAAAGGGAGCTTAACACCTTTTCAACGGGATTTTTTCTTAAAACGTTTATTTTTAAAAATGTACAGTTTATTTTTCTTTGATTTTTGGACACGTTAAACTTTCATCCTTGCGACTGCTTTTACAAAAAGAATTTTGGAAAAATGATAATATTTTGTATTTTAAAAAAAAAATTTAAATGAAGCTTCCGAGTACACTTCTCACATCTCACATCTTTAAAAATGTGATTTTGGCAACAATTTTCCTGTCTTATTGTTGTTGATAGATTTTTGATGAAATCGCATCATTTTGAATAGTTTCATTCTTTTAGAAATATGGGTTTGGTAACAGTTTTTCATCGTATTTCTTATGTCACTGTTTTTAAGAGATTGGCATATTTCATTGTCTTTTATATATATATATATATATAATATATTTTTATTGGGTTTTTTTTTTTTTTTTTTTTTGATAAAGTTGTTCTGTAGAGTAAAATTCTGTGCGGAATTTTATGTTTTTTGAGTTGCTTTCATATTATCTTTTGCTTATTTCACTGTTTGTAAGATATTGTAAAGTTTTGCATGATTTTTTTTCTTCAACGGAAAGTTGGTTAATTTTTTTATTAGGATAATTAATATTTGTATTAAGGGATATAGCTTATTTCATTGTAACTTTTTCTCTTGAAAATATAAGATCAAATATCTTTAATTATACTTTGCTTTTCAGAATTTTTTGTTTTTTGTATTCTTTTATGTTATTTATTGCTCATTTCACTGTCTTTAAGATAGTAAAAAGGTGTTTTGAGTGATTTGTTTTAGGAAACAAAGTTTTTAACCTCCTTTATACCATTTGAATTCTTAAGATTTTGCAAAGGGAAGTTGGTTAATTTACTTATTAGGATAATTAATATTTGTATTAAGGGATATTGCTTATTTCATAGTAATTTTGTTACAGTGAAACCTCGTTACAACAATATTTTAGGGACCAAATAAATATATTGTTGTAGAGAGGCATATTGTTATATCGAGGGCCCACATATTTTGAGCATTTCATAAGAGTTTTTTTTATTATTATTATTAGTTTAAGGTGCAAACATACTACTTTTAAGTCTATATTTAGAAGAAATTAATTGTAAAATACTAATAATAGCGGTTTAATACTAAAAAAATAAATAAATAAGATAAATTCAGAAATAAGCACAGAATATTCACATACCTGAAAACACTTTTTATTGAAAATAATCCAATATTTTTGTTTGTTTATTGATTTTTTTAACTGTTAAGTTCACCAATACTGTATGCATTGAGTCTAGTGGACGAAAATATTCTTCATTTGTCGACGGAAGGTTTGAAAAAAATGTCCGTAGAGAATTCACAGATTGAAGAGCTTCCTGGGATGACAATAAGGACTGCGATGGACCTGTATTATCATCATCATCAATATCATCATTTTTTCCTATCTCATCAGTAATTTCAGAGAGAATATCTTCATCAGTAACTCCTGCAAAAACCATAAGATCATCATCTGCTGTTAAATAGTCTTCTATACTAATTCCAAACTTTTTACCGCTTGTTTCCTCAAGTTGGGGTACGGATTTTTTGATGTGCAAAACACATTCTTGATCATCTGAGAGATCATTGTCTATGGAATTTTCATCATTATCAGATTTCTTATCTTCCATAACACAAAGACCGGCCTTTTTCCAGCAATTCCGAATGTTTTTTTCTGGTAATTCCCACCAACTTCTAGCAATATTGTCACACGCTTCCTTGACATTTACAGCTTTGAAAGGGTCTTCTACTTTATTTTCAAAGTTTACAAGTATGGAGTCCACCAACCGTTTTCTGTAATATCCTTTGAAGCACTTAATTATGCCCATATCAAGAGGCTGTAAAATTGAAGTGCAATTGGCAGGGAAAAAAGCGATTTCGATATTTTGTAGCTTTGGAAATGACGTGTGAGCACCACAGTTATCTATCAACAAAACGATTTTTTTATTTCTCTTCTTCATTTTTGTCTAACTTCTGTAACCATTCGGAAAAAAATTTAGACGTCATCCAAGCCTTCTTATTTGCTTTATACTCCACGGGAAGACTTTTTCACGTTCTTAAGCACCTTGGCTTTAATGATTTACCAATGACGAGAGGTTGTTTCTATGCGTTCCTGTGATATTTGTACACAGAAGAACAGTCAGTCTCTGCTTTGATTTCTTCCCTCCATAACACTTTTCACCCTTGAATGCCAATGTTCGATCGGGTAGGAGTTGGAAAAACAGCCCAACTTCATCTGCATTATAAATGTCTTCTGGAGCATACTTTTCTAAGATTTCTTTCATCTTGTTTTGCCGCCATTCATTTGCGTCGTTTATCGGGGCTGACTTTTTCTCTCCGTGAAATTCTTGGAAAGTTATTCCATGACGATCTCGAAAACGCATTAACCAACATTGCTAGCTTTGAAAGTTTCGTTCCCTAGCATTGCTGCAAATTTCCGTGCTTTTGCACATAATAAAGGTCCATTATTGGGACATTTGTTGCTCTCATCTCTTGAAACCATTTTAAAACAGCAGCATCAAGTTTTCATTTGTCGCAACTTTCAGTCGTTTTTCGCTCTGGGTTTAATTTCATTTGAAGTTACAGCATCTTCGATTTGCTTTCTCTTCTTAGGAACGTTGCAACTGTAGATTGCGATAATCCATGTTTCTAGCCGCATCAATCCGCTTCAGTCCCTCATCAATATCATTGATAACGTTCAGTTTATCTCGAAAAGATAGTTGCTTTCGCCTGCCATCTTAGGGAACAATATCGCGTGAAAGAAAGAAAAGTTTAAACCCATGTTTCGCGTAGAACTCAAAATCGTTAAAGACTTAAAACAACCTTTGAACTCACTTTTCAGTACGTCACTTATTAACAACACTCCGCCTGCATCTCCCCTGTTCCTCTAACAAAGGGCACGTGTTCTGTGACAAGGTGATCAGACAGGTCTAGATGTCTTAAACCTTATCAGAATTCCAAAGCTTACTGGGAAATGAGACTAGGCATACATTTACACTTCACCCCCCTCACCCACTCCAATTCTCAAAAAGGTGGTCTTCATCTGTTTTGAAATCTGAACAATAGCTATTTATTCAGGGATAAGTTGAAGATCCACAATGAGTCTTAATAGACGGAAAAAATAACAAAAGAAAACGAAAAAAAAAAAAAAAAAAAAAAACAAAAAGCATTTGAAAATCAAAATATTATTATAAAGGGAGAGAAAATAATACTGAAATTTAGATTGAAAAGATCGTTTTACAGAGGTTTATTGTTCTAGAGAATATAGCAATATTGAGGGGGTGATTAACATTAGTTTATATGCATAATCACCGGGACCACAAAACATTATTGTAGTAGAGGGAGTTATTGTTGTATCAGGTATCGTTGTAGCGAGAGTTTACTTACGTAATAACTTTTTATTTTATGAAGTTGTTCTACAGAGTAAAGTTCTACGCAGTTTTTAAATTTGACGTTTGGTGTTCCCTTCAGCCATTTTCCCGGTACATTTAAAATTGCTAAACATTAATTATTAATTAATTTCTAAATTATTTAAAACATATTTTGTACATCACATACTTCGTAAAATGAAGCAAATACAAACATAAACTTACGTGTTATTATTATTTCTTCAGAATTATGACATCTCTAATAATTTAAAATTCCATTTTTATCCATTCAAATTTAATATAAATGGTAAGTTATTTAAGACGGAACCTGTGCGAGGGCTGATTTAATGGTGTTCTTATACAGAAGGTAGGCATCGTGAAAGGATTCTATTTTAGCAAGTTTATTCCAACTTTGTGTGGTTTTTGCTTATTACTATGTGTCTTGTATCGCAGATTTTACATTCCGAGAAATATTAGGTGATGTGCTTTGATCCTAATTTAAAGTCTTTATCGTTTATCAGTATTACAAAGTTCTTTATTACAAAATCTTGCTTATTTTACAGAGTGTTACTTACAAAAGAAATATACAGATTATTACAGCCTTCGTTCCTTTACGAATTCCTTTGATTCTTTCTTCGTTCCTTATTGCTTTTCATTTGTGACAGCTGCAGAGACAAAAGAAAGAATAAAATTAAACGCACCTCAATAGGTGGTAAACATTTATCACTCTACACATTCAACTAATTCCCGATAAATGAGTTTGCTTTAATACGGCGAAACACATGCGGAGTATCGTGTTTACACGTGTAATAGTCACACCCCCATTTTGAAGCGCAAAACATCACGAAAATTGTACAATATTGTGTACAAGATTTCCCAGCATAATACTCGCACCAAGACTTTCACAATAAAAAACCGGCTAAAAATGGTGCGACTATTACGGAAGTAAATACGGTATGCATTTTTCACAGGTGCACATCTGTGTAGACACCGAGGGAGTTGCTTCTAGGATGGACCAATGAGCATTTTATAGTAATATTTCTCTCATGTCACATGACCTTTTAAGATTTAGGGAAGATGGCTGAAAATATTCTGCTCCGCAATTTTGTGTACAAAATAATTAAATCCTCGTCGATTTCTTCTGAAAATTTTCGTTGCAAAGTTAGATCAAATATAAGCAATTGGGAAGATTTCACTACCTGGTTGAAAGAATTTGAAATAAATGCAGACACATGTTGGATACTCCACAAAAATATCCACGTGAAATATTACTTAATAAGTTGTAAATAAGATGAAGAATGAAGAAAGATATATGTGATAAACATCTGAGCCCAAATGCTATCTTTACATAAAACTATGCATATGACAAAAAATATTTACACCAATTATATATGTAAATAGAAGTCAGCACCTTTTTTTTTTTTTTTTTTTTTTTTTTTTTTTTTTTTTTTTTGCAGTCTATATGAAACAGTTGTTCTATAATAATAGTCAATGCAGAATTTTATTCAAAGTGAACTTTACTAATTTGCATTCGTATACATTTAGTGTGTTAAATTTCACATTTAATAACTGCTCACTCTTAAATGCCTGTCTACACAAGAAATACTCATCAAACAGAATAAATATATCTTACTAACAACAAATATATTCAATTTATTCACATATAACTTTTAATGTTAACAATGGATATAATCAGATTGTACACAATATGTATTCTGAATCTTACACTTTCAAAATCAAAGGAATGCAAGCACTCAAAATAAGAAAATACTAGATTCATTGTAACACTTCCAGTCCTTCTCAGCGCAATTAAAAAAAATATACACTTGAATTCTCTTAATCCACAGGTGTTGGTAAATGCAGAATATTCGAGTCTAATTGAAGGATGAGTCATTTTCTCGATGTAAAGAGCGATAATATGCCGTGAACATCAATCCAAATATTAATGCGTGATAAAAAATTGCGAAAGTGAAATGTTAGCGATAGAAAACTCATAAAACGAAAGCACTAGGAGATTTTCTACTATTACGCCATACATTCATAACTGCGAATTCATTTTCGAAACCCCTCACTCAGTGGCTACTCTGATGTGCACAAGTGAAATATGCATACGGTATCTGCTTAATGGAAGGACTGCTTCACTGAATGACATTTTAAAGGAATCTGTTTCATATTTTTTGTTACACATGGGCAAAATAGTCACTTAGTCAGTCTATTCCCCGTGATTCAAGCATCGAACTAGAAGTGTTTAGCAATCTTAACCATTCGAGCACTATTGGGCTCTTTCAAGTTAAATAAAAGAGTTTAAAATACAAAAGTAAAAATTAGTTTAATTATTAACTTACAACGATTATGCCTTTCTTTTCCATTTCTCAATGGAATATACTGTATAGAAAATTTTAAAGCATTATATCCAAATTACGTTTAAAAGTGTCAGCGAACACAACTATTGGCAAGTTTGGAAAAATATAATCTATTATGGCATTTGGGAAACTATCAAATATTCAATTTCAGAATTTCTGGGTCCCTGACTGGTTTCCGAAATTCGTATAGTTTTGTTTTTCTCCTTATATTTCAACCATTAGGTTATTTTTATAAAGTTTTCCGACAATAGTCAATAAAAAAAATAAAAAAATAAAAAAAACCGCCCAAAGGGGCGTTTTTTTCATTTACAGGTACACACACGTTTCGAGAGCCTTTGGGCTAAAAAATATTTAAAAACAGCATATTAAATTTCTGATAGACAGTCTCGCGCGCTGGAAATAAAAATATTTTATTCCGTACAGTGTTCGCACTGCTCACTTTGAATCGTTGAGTTTTTTAATCACAAATTTGCTAAAGTTTTGCAAAATAGGTAATAAAACAAATTCGAAATTCAAAACTCGGGTGCTCATATGCGGGTGGAGGACAACGTTATTCAGAAAGGAACCGTTGTTTTTTCACAGTGCGAGAAACAAACATATACAGGGTTTATCAGTACAGCAGTGACAAACTTTACGATGGGAAAACACATAGCAATGCATGGTCGGAACCGGTTTCGTGGCGCCGTAGTGACGACACAAAAATCAAGAAAGAACGGGGTAAGAAAACATGTTTATTCTTCGGAGTACAGCTAAAACAAAGAAAACACAATATAAAGGGACAACGATCGTCATCAAAGAAGTTGTTCAAAATTACGACCCGGACTGTGATGCAGGAACCGTGCGCCATGCATTTTCTGTGCGATCTTCCATTCGTGATGCAAATCTTTCATGCGCCGGAGAAATGAGGCTCTGCATCATGGTCCGGGGTTATAATGTGGAACATTTTCTTTAACGACAATCGTTGTTTGTTTTTGTTCTTACTTTTTTGTTTCTGCTGTACTAAACATAATAAAATATGTTTTGTCTCACTGTTCATGTCCTTCCTTTTTTGTGTCGTCACTACCGCGCCAGGAAAGCATTTCCGATCATGCATTGCTATGTGATTTACCATGGTGTAGGAGTACTCTATCTCTCCTGAAAGTTTGTCACTGCTGTGCAGATACATCCTGTATTCATGCATATACTTCATTATGTAATTTATTTAAATATAATTCAGGGCGACAATATTTAGTGGCAACAATTTGAAAAGTGACTCAGCACAGAAATGCCGTATCCAGACCAATAGTTCTTCTGTGCTAACGCCCTTTTGGGCTGAATAAAACGTGCCGGGGAATGGGAACTAAAAAATATGGAGGACTATGTTATTCAAAATTTGATGTCTATAGGTACTGTTATTTTTTCACAGTGCGAGAAACGTACACACATTCATGCAGATTCTTCATTATTTAATTTCTTTAAATGTAATGCAGGGCTGTAATATTTGGTGGCAATAATTTGAAAAGTGAAACGTCATAAAACGAAATTAATAGCCCTTTTGGGTAAATTGCCCCTTTGGACAGATAATAATAAATTTTAAAAAATTACAAAACGTATTTACTATTTTTGTGTGTAATCAAATGATCTAACTAGCGATCATTATTAAATTCACTAATTTATACTTTTAGCCAAATTCATCAGAAATAATTGCAGTCATCATTCACAGATGGCAATAACAGTCAGTACAGCTACTGAACATAAAATCAAAATTTTGTACGAACTTAGAAACTAATTTAAATCAAATTTTGGACAGTCCTGCATCGGAGCTTTATAAATCGAATTTAACGTTTTGTATGCTACTTCAAATTTTAATGCAAACTAAAAGATGCTTCTGGCTAGGAGCTTTCTGCATAAATAAAACTACTTGACTGAATAAAATGGAAATTCAGTGAATAACTCTAATATCTTGCTCAAAAAGTCATAAGGAAATTATATTAGTAAATAAAATTCATACTCCCCAAAACACGAGTTTGCTCCAGTGCTCCAATTAACCGATTCAGTGTTTGCAGGATTGTATCGATCGCTAGTAAATACAACTGAATATTTGTTGCCAGTGCAAGATAAGAAACCGATAGTTATTAGCACTTTCAAATCCTACCTAATTTGTATTCTAGTGAAAGTCAACGGAAACAGAAAGCATAGGAGAAAATTAACACGAAAATAATTGGTTATTTAAAGTAAAACTTTACGCAAGAATTGAAATCTATTAAAAAAGAGGTAATCTACTAATTTCACAGCTATGACAATTATAACGATAATAACTTACATAACCTGATTATACACAAATGATAACACTTACAATACTCACTTGTAAGGGCATTTGATTCAAGTTTGCTTCTTTCTGTGTCTTTGCCAGACAGAGCTCGCATCAAGTCCACGTTTTTCACCAAAGAGTTCATAAAGGACCTACAGGTTATAAGCACATCATCCATGACGTTGAAATGCTTCTGTATCTCAGTCGCTAACTTATCGGTATCTGTTATGTAATAATTCATATTCTTTGCAGTTTTTTCCTCTTGCGGTTCCTCTGTTTTAGCAACTTGCTGGGATATCTGAAAGGTCAAGAAGGAAAAGTCGCATATAACACCGTTCTACACATTTTTTGCCACGCAAATGAAAACGTCCAATCTTTAATAACTTAGGACTGCTGGATAACGAAAATGCCATAATAAAAGTTTGAATGGATCTAAATGTGGCATAGCGGTTGATGAGTTTAGAGTGAGTGGAGAAATGTATAGTGTAAATGACACTTCTAGACTCTCCAAACTCCTGGAATAATACATGTTGTAATTTTTAAATTTATCTGTCTGCAGTTATGCGCAAGATCTGTACCCAAGTTTAGATTGTAACTTATTTGTAAACTCGTGACTACATGAAACGGAAACTAGAAAAGGCTTAAGTAAATGACAGAAATTAGAAGTTAGATAAAAATCTCTTGTTTCACTATTAAGTCCTTTGAGAAGCATAAAGTTTATCTGCCTCATATTACATATTTTTATTAATAGAGTTTCAGTTTAGCATACTATGCAAAAAAATGATCATTCACAAGTTAAATGTTTGGCTGAAGTTCTTAAACAAATATTACTATGCTGGGAGTCCACGAAAAAGCAATCCCCTTCCAATGATAATACAAGATTGATGATGTTCGTCTTGTACTATCGCGAGTATATAAAGCTGGACTACAGGTTTATTTGGTGACATTAAGTCGGCGCAGATAGAGAGATAGATGGATAGTTAGTGGATAGATGAATAGTTAACAGATAGAAGGTAATGTGTATTTAATTATGGCAAAGCACACTAGGGCTATCTGCCTAAGGGAAGGGATGCCTTCGTGGAGTTTCTAAGGGAAACTGACTCGTATACACGTTACACATGGGGAAAACTACGAAAACACCCGTGCAACCAGCTGGATTCGAACCTCGGACCGAACTACCAGTGTTCAGCGACTTTATCGCTCGGCCGCTGGTGAGCCTGCATATAGAAGGATAATTAGTAGATAGACAGCAAGAAGCTATGGCCTTCTAAAGAACATGAATCAGTACTGAAGGCAGGCTACTTTTCTGTGGACCATCCTGTATCAAATAGGAAAAAATGCAGTTTTGTCTTGTAACATTACTAAAGTTAAACTATGCTAACAGCTAAAATGCAGAACCGAGCAATTGCAGTTAAATAAAATAAAATGTTGTCCGCCGAAAACATCGTGGCAAAAACATCGCGTACGAAAACGTCGCGGAGAAAACAACGCAAGGTGAAAACGTCCTGGTACAAAAAACCGTAGAAGAAAAGAAAGAGAAAAATCGCAATTCTAAAACATCGTGGTACAAAATACTGTCGTCGAAAATAAAGTGGTTAAAAAATATCGCAGTTTAAAAACATTGTCGTCAAAAATATTGTGGTAAAAAATAAAGTACCTACAAATCATCACAGGATGACATCGCATATATGCGTTTTTCAGGTTTTAAAAGCTGTAAATGCATTTTCGCATAATGGTTTCGTAGCGCAAGAAGGAAAGGGGGATATTTTGACTTTTAATATTTCTTATTTTTGAACTAACTTATAAACTTTTGCTGAAAATGTAAGCAGGAAACTTAAACATTAAAAAATTGAAAATAAGTAGAAAATTAATGCAAGTCATAGAACCCAATAAAAATTTTAATTTGCATAGTTAGTTAACAAAGATCATTAATAAATAAATCTTTTTCATAAAATTTTACTCATAATTTTTCATGAAAAATACAGCCTAAAAATTAGAAAAAGGAAGATAATAACTGCAAGTCAACTTGTAACTGCAATATAAAATTTGCTTAGTTAATTAATTATCAAATTACTTTCTTTCACGTTTGTTAATCTGGTATTGTTTTGGTGAAAATTATATCTTGATTTGTTTCCATTTATTCTTAAAGTGTCGTTAAAATTTCTTGCGCTTCCAAATCTTTATGCGAAAATGCATTTACAACTTGTTCATGCGACGCGTGCGTTGTTATACAACAATTTCAAATTAACTAGAAGTGGACTGTACTAAATATTTTATTCGACAACTTTAATCAAATGCGTGCCATCTTTCAAGCGATGACTTACTACTAATAACAACAGCAATAAAAAAAACTGAGTAAGCGTTTACAGGGTTGCTGTAATGAACATCTGCGCCATGCAAGGCGCCAAGAAGAGAAAAAATGACGTAATCTTACAGTTAAATAGTCTTAATGACTTAACATACCCCCCGGCATTGAAGGGTTACTTCAATAATTTCGTTCGATAATACTCATAATAACCTACAAAATTGTACAATTACTACCTTATACAATAATGCAATACGAATAAACTCTTAATTCAATATAATAATATTCAATTTTCAATACAAATTTTTGTGCACAATACAATTTACAATACAAGTTTTATAATAATAAGCTAACACTTAACTAACTTAGGAAGCTTCTTCTTGGGGTAAAATTGCAATTTTTGTAATTCCACGCTTAATGATGCCCTTTGCTGTCTGTATTTCTACTACTCTAACCTTACCGTCAACTCCAGGAAAAATTCTTGTAATGCGCCCTAACACCCATCTACAGACAGGAAGCTCATCCTCCTTAACTAGTACTAGCATACCTATTTTAATATTCGTTTGTTCTACCTTCCATTTTGAACGCTGTTGTAGTGTGTTTAAATAGTCCCTATGCCAACGATTCCATATCAACTGGACAAATCTGGTAGTTCGTTTCCATCTTGAGAGTCTGTTTTCAGGTATATCAATTAATTCGGGTTCTACTATAGCATTCAAGGGTCTTCCAATGAGAAAATGGCCTGGTGTTAATGCCTCTAAATCATTTACATCGGAAGATAAGGGAGTAATAGGGCGAGAATTTAAAACAGACTCTATCTGAGTTACTACAGTTAATAACTCCTCGAAAGTCAACCTTGCATTACCTACAATCCGCTTTAAGTGATATTTCACGGATTTTATTCCAGATTCCCATAGTCCACCAAAATTAGGTGTCCGTGGGGGAATAAACTTCCATACTATTCCTTCTTCACCTAAATAATCTGCTAATTTTTTGTCAGGATTTCTAATTAAATTGTTAATTCTTTGCAATTCGGCATTTGCGCCAACGAAGTTTTTTGCGTTGTCTGAGAAAATGATTGAGCATTTTCCGCGCCTAGCAATAAATCTCTTTAAGGTGGCAATAAATGCGTCAGTGGTGAGATCACTCACTAGTTCGAGATGCACTGCCTTTGTTATAAGGCAAATGAAAAGAGCTAAATATACCTTATGAAGAGTTCCTTTCCTCAGTCCCTTGTACCTAATAAAAAAATGGACCGCAAAAATCGGTACCGACATGATTAAAGGGTGAGCTTGGATTTACGCGCTCTGCAGGTAATGACCCCATAATTTGTTCGATAGTGACTGGTTTATTTTTACTACAAATTATACATTCATGGGTAATCTTTCTAGTTAAATTCCTACCTTGTAATGGCCAAAATTTCTGTCTCATAAAACACAATAATGCTTGCGAACCTACGTGTAAATATTTCCGATGATAATGCTCAGCAATCAGCTTAGTTAGTTTGCATTTAACAGGCAAAATTATTTGATGTTTTTGTGAAAACATTACATTGGCCCCTTGTAATCGGCCTCCTACTCTCATTACATTATTTGCATCCAAAAAAGGGTTCAAAGAAAGTAAATTACTTTTATTATTAATGGGTTTACCTTGTGCGAGGGAGTTGTAATTCTGAATAAAAACTACATTTTTGAACCTCTCTTACTAAAAAGGATTCTGCCTCATTTAACTCCTTTGAACTTACTCCTCCTGTTCTTCTCTGTGCTCTTCTCTTCTGTTTTGCACACCTAGAGTTCCAAATGAACCTGAAAATATAACTAACAATACGTAATAATTTTAAATAATTGTTAGTGATATCTAGGACATTATCAATAAATTTTGAAGGCAAAGTGCATAAACAAGCAATGTCAGTTCTTTTTCTCAGTTCATTAGAAAATGTCTCTGTTTTTTCTAATTGTTCAAAGTCAATGTTCTTGTTAGGTATGACACCCTCACTCAAGAATGGAGGACCTTTCCACCACAGATCAGCATCATGCAGCTTGTCAAAATTCAGTCCTCGGGAAATAAGGTCTGCCGGGTTCTCCTCTGAACGCACATAATTCCACTGGCATGTCTGTGTTAGCTCTTGGATCTGCAACACTCGATTAGCAACAAAAGTTTTTAGTACATGCGGGGGATTCTGAAGCCATGCTAACACTATGGTTGAGTCACACCACAGACATATTTTGCTGATGTCCAATTTCAATAAAGGCACCACCTTTGCAACAAGCTGTGCTAGCAGTACAGCTGCGCAGAGTTCCAGTCGAGGTACTGTCAGCGGTTTTAGTGGAGCTACTCTGGACTTGCTGCAAAGCAAATGTGAAGATAAATTATTGTCACTTCTACAGCGTAAATAGATGGCTACTCCGTATGCGTGTTCTGATGCATCTGAAAATCCATGAATTTGTATATCAGAAAAAAACTATCCTGTAAAACATATCTACTGACTTTCAAATTGTTGATAGATTGCATTGAATCAATAAAAAGTTGCCAATCCTTAATTATCCTTTCGGGTAGCGGATCGTTCCAATCAAGCTTCAATAACCAAAGTCTTTGGATGAAGATTTTTGCTTTTGTTATCCCTGGACCAAGCAGTCCTAATGGATCATAAATGCGAGCAATATCAGACAACACTGTTCTCTTTGTGTAAGTAGTTGGTTTCTTGATGGTTGATTTGTACGAAAAACAATCTATCTTTGGATTCCATAATAATCCTAAAGTTTTGATGCTCTGATCGTCATCGAAATTACTGAAAGAATATTCCTCTTGTCCATCCGGAAACTGCAAAAGATCAGGATGATTAGCACACCATCTGTGCAGACGCATTCCTCCACGTGATAATAGGTTAATCAATTGCGACTGTAATTCTTTAGCCTCTATTAGAGTATGGGCTCCTGTGAGTACGTCATCGACATAAAAATCCCTTTGTACTATTGGCGCTGCTAACGAAAAATTATTTTTCTCGTCTTCTGCTAATTGATTAAGTGTGCGTGTTGCTAGATATGGTGCGTTGGAAGTACCGTAAGTTATAGTCTTCAGTCTATAGACCTTAACTGGTTCTTCTTCACTACTCTTCCATAAGATGCGTAATAAATCTCTTTGATGTTCTTTAATCAAAATCTGACGATACATTTTTACAATGTCTGCTGTGAAGGCAATTTTATGCGTTCGAAATCTGCAAATAATATCAAATAGTTCGTCTTGAACTAACCCTCCATTCAGCAGAATATCGTTTAACGAAATTCCAGTAGTCGTAGGAGCAGTGGCATCGAACACTACCCTAAGTTTAGTGCTAGGTTTCTCGGGCCTGAAAACCCCATGGTGAGGAAGATAATATGAGAAACTAGAGCTATCCCCTTCATCAATTTCTTCGGAATGGCCTAATTTATTATATTCCTTAATGAAATCTTCGTATAAGTGTTTCATTGCGGGATTGCGAGTGAAGCGTTTAAGTAGATAATTCAGTCTTTTGCTAGCGTTTTCTCTCGATTCCCCTAAAAGGCTAAGTCCTTCCTCCTTAATTGGCATTTCCACTACATATCTGCCATCATCTTGCCTCGTGTGTGTACGAAGAAAGTGCTGTTCACAAAATTCCTCTTCCTGACTTTTCACTTTTTTTGCTTCATTAATACCTTCAATCTCCCAAAACCTTCTCATGTTGTCAGATAAATTATCCCCATTTTCCACAAACCCACAAAAATTATCAACACTGCCTTGCTGCGGCATGCGTACTGACCCGCTAACGATGTATCCAAAAACTGACTGATGGAGAATCAGGTCTTGCATATTTATTCTATTTGTTCCCAGTAAATCAAAAAATATTTCGTTAGATAATAAAACATGTATTTGACCAGGTTTATAAAACTCTGGATCAGCTAAACCAATGAGTTGCAACTGCTTAACATCAGGAATGTTTATATATCTAGCAGGCGTTACGCGAGTTATTTTTGGAACAACAAAAAATTGTAAGGTACGAATAAAATCTCTAGTAGCGTTAGCGATGGTTGCTATAGCTTTTTCCTTAACACCCATAACTGTACCATTGATACCTGAAATAGAAGCGTTTATTTTTCTTTTCTTCAAATTCAATAACTCAGCACCTTCTTTAGTAATGAAATTATTTTGAGAACCGGAATCCAGCAAGGCTCTCAGCGAGATAAATTTTCCATCATTACCCTTAACGAAAATAATTGCAGTTGAAAGTAGAACTTGTTTATTAAAAGAACTGGAAATATTCAGCGCAGTACCGTTAATGGACTTTGCTTGGTTGGTTTCATTAGTGTCACTAACCTTTTGGCTGCTTGCCATTGGAGTAAATGTATCAGCATTTGGAGAAAGATTACTGCTTAATTTATTAGTCTTGTTTGTGATTTGATTCGATGTGCCATTTGCTTTATCGAAATTTTCTTCATTTCGATCAAAATGTAAGAGCGAATTGTGAAATTTCTGACATTTTCTGCATGTATTAGAACTTTTACAGTCCTTGATTGTGTGGACCGAAGATAAACAATTGAAACATAGTTTTTTTGTCTTTACAAATTCAAATCGTTTCTTGACTGTTAGATTTAAGAATTGCGCACATTTCAACAATAAATGATCAGCTTTACAATAAGGACAATTTTTTGAATTTTCCGAAAGTGATGTAAGAGCTTTGGTATTAAATGAACGTTTCGATTCCCCATGCGGAGGTTTGTAATGTGATAGGGTGCGAGCGTGTTCCTTCAAAAAACATGTCAGTTGTTTAACCGTTCCTATCTCGTCTTTTTTAAGTGACCTTTCCCACCAACACCGAGTATTTCTATCCAACTTTTCAACTAATAAATAAACAATTAACGTGTCTGAAAATTCTTCCACCTTTTGCTCCAATGCTTCCAAGGATCGTAAACATTCATGCACCTTATCGATAAATTTTAAAAGCGACGAAGTAGAATCACTCGTTTGAGGTATAGAAATTAATTTCTTTATGATAGAATTGATCAAATCTTTTTTGTTGCAATAGCGATCAACCAACAGATTCCATGCTATGTCATAATTCGAATCTGAAATTGGAATGGACTGAATAATATTTAAAGCGTCTGCCTTACACGAACTCTTTAAATATTGCAATTTTTGCGCATTAGTTAATTTGCTATTTTTATGCACAGCTGCGGAAAATAAATCCTCAAATTCAATCCATTCTTCGATTTTCCCACTAAATATTGGAAGAGACAATTTAGGCAATTTTATATCCGAAACAATTATGTCTTTACTCGAACCGTTTTCATTTGAGCAGCTATTCCTTTGAGAACGGATCTCAGAAATTTTTCTTTTAATTTTCAAATGAATTTCATCGAGATTATCTACTACATTTTCCTTTTCCTTAATGAATTCGTCAGTGTCCTTTTCTTCACAATGTGCAAATAAAGAATCGAAAATGTTACTTAATTCCTTTTTAAATTCTAATATTTTTGATTCGTATAACTCCAATAAGGAAATATCTGCTTCATCCACTGTAGAATTTACCTTATTTTCAAACTTTCTGATACTGCATTTTAAACTTTTTTTGCTTTTTTTGTTAGCTTTAATCGCTTTCAATTCACTCATCATGAACAAATAAATAATTTATCACTTACCGTGATTGCAGATTTCTCGACAGCAACACCGGAAATGAACGATGACACAGTATCCAATCTTAATTGCGTAATCCACACGAAAACGAAAGCATTCCAAACACTCTATATGAAGTTATGCGTAATACAACCAAACGAAAGTATTCCAAATGTTCTAAAAAGTTAATTTTAGCAACGATATCTTTTACCTGTGGCTCGGACGGGCCATAAAGTGTTCATGCGATGCGTGCGTTGTTATACAACAATTTCAAATTAACTAGAAGTGGACTGTACTAAATATTTTATTCGACAACTTTAATCAAATGCGTGCCATCTTTCAAGCGATGACTTACTACTAATAACAACAGCAATAAAAAAAACTGAGTAAGCGTTTACAGGGTTGCTGTAATGAACATCTGCGCCATGCAAGGCGCCAAGAAGAGAAAAAATGACGTAATCTTACAGTTAAATAGTCTTAATGACTTAACACAACTTTTAGAACGTGAAAAATGCATGTGTGTGATGTTATCATCATGCGATGATCTGTAGGTGCTTTATTTGACCATGATATTTTCGACGACAATATTTTGTACCACGATGCTTTAGAACTGCGAAGTTTTCTCTTTGCTTTCTTTTCTCCCACGATGATTTGTACCACGACGTTTCCGCCTTGCGTTGTTTTCTCCGCGATGTTTTCGGCTATAACCAATAAAATAATGTTTCTCGGTTATTTCAAAAAATTGTTTTATTTGGTTTGATCCCTCTTTTCCAAAATTTAGAGAAATCTTTTAATCCAGATTAATTTCAGATGTCTATACATTTCTTGATCCAAACCTAATTTATTGTAAAAGTACCATTCAAAAAGGGATTTACCTTTATGCTTTCCGCTATTGATTTATTCAACAAGCGAATATCAGGTTTTACATCGATATCTTCAGGATCAGAGTCATCTTGCATGCTGTCTCTCTTGCGTTTTCTGGTTGGCTCAATATCAGGTTCATTTCCAGACACTTCATTTCTGATAAGACTGTCATCGTTTGATTTGGAGCTATTAGATGTACCTGCGTACAAGAGAAAATTTACAGCTACAAATTTCTTAAGAGAAACTCACAAAATTATATTCGCGCTTTGCATATCATAAACATATAAAGACAATATCATATATGTAATATAATCATATACTGGTATAATTTTAAGAACGAACTTTTTTAGGTAATACGATAGCAAGAAATATCTCTACAATAAACTTCTTAGGCAACTTCCCATAGTAAATGTTATCTAAAAGTATTTTCCATTACCCGATTTGACAGTGCATTCCAAATATAAAATGATTCTCAACGTCACTGCAATGATGCAATATATCCAAAATAATTAATATCGACATATATATTACAAAATGATCTGGCAATGAGAAGTGGTAACAAGTTAGTGTACAAATAACAAATATTTGGTTACGGCAAAGCCTCGAGGGCTACCTGCCTAAAAAGGGATGCCTTTGTGGCGGACTTTCTAAGGGAAACTGGCTCGTATACATGTTATACATGGGGAAAACCACGAAAACGCCTATGCAGCCAACCCATCCGCGGGATACAAACTTCGAAACGAACTACCAGAGTTCTGCGACTTTTCCGCTCGGCTGCTGGTGGATGCAAATAACAAAGGACTGTGATGAATAAAACGGTCAGTTCACCACAGTCTGCATTTCAGATAAGTACAGTTAACAAGGTTAATAGCTGAGTACCGTAAAGTATTGACGCAATTCGTCATCATGCAGATAGAGTTTATGCTGTATTGCAAGCGCGAGTACTGTGATAAATATCTTCTACTTGGAAATCCAATTACATAGCATTGAGATATTGTAAGAACATACAGTCAGTGCTGTTTCATCCAACTATAACCAAGCCTGTATATCATACGGAAGAATAATGCCTATTCCACGGCAATGATTTTGAACATATATTGATGTAGTCTGAATGGATGATCATTTGATGTAGACTGAAGAACCAACAACACTGGTACAGCGGCATAATACTTAACTTTAAAACACAAAATTAAAAAAAAAAAAAAAAAAAAAAAAAAAAAAATGGTGGTTGAACAAATCTAGACGATCAAATCTAGCTGCTGAAGAGTTATTGCATATCAGACTTTCAGTCTTGGCGACACTGTAAAGACTATTAGGCTTTTCAAACTAGGAAATGCGAAAAATTAACTATGCCGTCGCTGAAATTTGAACGACAGTCCTTCCACGTTGCTAGTTAGACGTGTTAACAATTTACACCACTACAGAACACACGAAAAATGGGATACTTTCTTACAATGTTATACAGCATAACGACATCCGAAATGGCATCGTTTGAACACCGCAAGATTACCGATGACCGCAAGATTAAATAAATTTTTTGCAGTCTAACTATCTACATTTACGTTTTTTTTGGGGGGGGGTGAGTGGATGTGTGATATTAACCCAAAGTCCTAAGACTAATCGCTCCGTCTGAAATATGACAAGTTTTAAGAAGGTTTTAAATAACCGTTTTATTAAATCTTGAAGGCTCAGGTGCGAAGCACATGGAGAACAGGCGCCTACGCTAAAAGCCACATTCTGTGTGTAACGCATGCAGAAATGACACGACTTTCCTACCATAACCTTAGGGACTGTTGGCTGAGAATTCTAGAAATAAGATTCTCGATGTTGCGATGTGATGAGCCTTGCGTATAACACCTTCAGGAGGTACTCCGACTAACAGACAGCAAAAGTGCGCTGGTTCAAGAAGATAGAATGGGGAAAACTGAAAAGTTCTGAAACTAGCTGCGTGAATTTCCTGTGTTCCTATTGGTCTGTCATAGAGGGAGTGCTAAATCTTTTCTAATCTTCAGATTCAGCGAAATTAATAAGAAACATAGCTGCTTGGAAGCCTGTTTTTTTTTTTTTTTTTTTTTTTTTTTCCCCTGCTGGATTCTTTGCTGCTCTGATTTTACCAATGCATGAGATGATGGAAGTTAGGAAAGCGTTAATTTTTTTCATCTTGAATCCATTTAATAGTATCGTTTAAGTCTTTCGGAGGCAGAGTGATTTTTCCTTTCCATTTCTCGCTTAAGTGGCTTGAGGGGGATTTTTCTGCGCTGGGATCGAGGCAGTCTTTGAGCTAGGAAAGTTTTCCTCAGAGAGTTCGGGAACTTTAGGCTGGGGTGGGCTGCTTTTCTCTTCAAATATTTCTTATACTCGCTGCAGCCTCTATAGCTGCTCACGTGACAGAGTCCGCAGAAAATACATTTTGGCTTATCTTTGGGTTTCATGGTGCATTGATTGCTTCGATGTTGTTGCCCGCAATTCACACATCTAATGGGAGTTTACTGCAACAGAATTGAGAATGCCCGAATTGCTGGCATTGGACTGGTCTTTTCTTGGGGTTGTATTTCTCTATGGTGACGTTGAAATTGAACATATTATTGAGCTGGTGAATCTTATTTCCTTCGGGTGATCTTTTTAGTTCCAGTAGGTACATGGGAAGTTTAATTTTTGTCCTTCATTTCCTTTGTTTGAAAACTGCTTGACTTTTTCGATAACTGAGTTTAGGTTTCGATGTATGGCGTCTTCTTAGATAGTAGTGGGGAGGTTCTTCGTAATGACCCGAATCGGTTTTTCGAATTCTAACTGGTAGGAGTGATAGGGAATCTTTTGTTCAAGTAAGAGTTCATTCATCGTGCTGTAATCTTTCAGGTTCTTAGTGTATACGCAAACGGATTTTCCTCTCATTTTGGGATTCGAAGGGATCTGTACAATTTATCAAGAACATTTTATTCAAAGTCATCCAATCGATTTCATCTTGTGAAAATACAATGGGTGGCGGCGGTTATCAGCGTTGGCCAGTGGCGTAGCTAGGGTGGGGCAAGGGGGACATTTGTCCCTGGGCGCAGCATTCAGGAGGCGCCAAATTGATGTTACGAAATTTTAGAATAAAATGTTTTCCGTTCTTGGCACAGAGAAAGGGGCACAAAATCTTCAGTAGTCCCCGGACGTTGAAAACCCCGGGGACTACTACGCCTTTGGCGTTGGCTCCTCCTTCGGGGTTTTCCTCTGCGATTTTTCTGAGTAATTGAAAACGGTTCTCTTGTGGTATCTCCATCGGAATCGGCTTTTCTTAAATTTTCGCAGTCTTTTTGGGGGTAATTCAATAACTTTTATTATCCGAGATTGTGGCGATTTGCTGCCTCTTGCTAACGAGTTGGTTAGTTTTCCTTGCATGTTCCAACACAAGTTTGTTCTGTTCTTCGGGGATTTTTGCTTCCTCTAATCGTAGCTCGAATTCCAAGTGTTGTGTCACATAAACAGCTCCGAACTCCTGGATAAGTTCCTGTATTTTTTTTCTTCTCTGGCTATTTCTGCATTCTTAATTTCCTTCTCGGAATTCGCATTCTATTTTTTTTGTTTCCGCTTTTTCCTGAGTCTGAGATCCTTCAAAAATTCCTCACGTTTTGAAGTAGATGGCAGAGACAAAGTCGATAATCCAGAATCTGTGCAGTCACTAGCTTCATTATCCGTATTTACTGCCCTAAAAAGGACATGCTTACTGTGAAACCCTAAGGAATCACTCGCCGAAGTGTAAAAGATACATAAGTAAACTCACTGACCGCCAACGGGACTGGGCCAGTTCGTAGAAAATTGAGCAGTAAACCAAAGTGCGTCCAACACGCTCGGAGTCACAGCTCAGAATGATTAAATCTTGAAGTGAACACAAAGCACAACTTCCACGTACAAGTTAATTCTGCCCCTTGTGGAAATTTAAAGTAACAAAGTTGAATTTTCAAGTTAATGGTATCGTAGTCGGAGACTACACAAATTGGCATACTTAAGCTGGCTCAGAAATTTAATAGTGCATATTAATTTCAGCTAAAAAAATAGCTAAAGCCGTAATATTCAACGACAAAGCTGGATGATACAGTGTAAAGTGTTCTACATCTAAAAACATTCAAAAGCATTGACTTAAAATACATTTCAATCTTATTTACATCCTGGTGAGTGTTACGGAAAACAGAAGTTACATTAAAGATTTAATAAAATGCTTTACATCTTATTGAATCTATTATTTAAATTCGAATCATATGACTACGACTAATCATTAAAAAGATACATAGTCCTGCAATATTTCTCATATGCGCTCACATACATTCGCCAATTGAAATTAATAACAACAATTTTTTCACACCCTTCGTTATTAATTGAAAATTTATTGGTAACGTAATTAGAACACGATCTGAAAAATCTTTGAAGAATTCGATCTTTCTAGCATAATAGGCTTTACAGATTCTATTAATACCTATTCACTAACCCAGTAAAGGAATATTTATTATTTACAGGAATATTTATCACCTGAAAAATAAGATCTAAGCTTTCTTACTTGGGTTTGACTTCTGATCGTCTTTATTTTTGTTTGATGCTTGTATCTTTCCCAGTAATCGACTTTCTTTTTTCCAGTTATCATCTAAAAGACTAACATACTTTCCACACTCGCTGTGCAGATCTTTCATTCTCAGTTTACTTTCCTCGATGCGTTTAATGTCTGCCGTAATATCACCAATCAAGGATTCTACCCTTTTCATTGAAGTTTCTACATCATGTATATCTCTTTTCTCTCTTGCATTCGTTGAATCTGTTCGTCCGCTAGCTTGGCTGCTCATTTCATTTATCTGCATAACAATACATAAAAAATGATATTTTAACATAACATAAAACAATGCAAATATCAATTCTTTTCACAACTATAATCCAATCAATATCTAAAGTTTTTCAAAATGATTACATACTAAACTAGAAAGCTTTCAATCAGAAACATAATCAGAAAGAAAAAAAAAAAAAAAATCTGAAAGCTTTCAGATTTTACATTAGGGTATTTCCAAAAGGGTATTTTTAACGTTTTGTGTGTTACCTTAATTTATTAAATATCATGTTATTCGCACTTAAACCATAAAATTCAATTCAACAGCAATATCGCAAAATAATTTTAAGAGAGAAAAGAGCGTGTCTTTAGAATTTCCCATACACAGTATCGTGCGCTGGAGATGATTTTTTTAATCCGTACAGTGTTTCCATTGCTCTCTTTGAAATCGTTGAGTTTGTTAATCAAAAATTCGTTAAAGTGATACAAATTGTAAAACCGATAATAAAACAAATTCCAAATTAGGACTTCCAGATGCCCATATTCGTTGGAGAATTACGTTAGTTTAAACTGGATGGCTCTAGATACCGTTGTTTTATCACAATGCGAGACACATACATACATTTATGCGGATTCTTCATTATTTATTTTTTTTTAAATATAACACAGCGCGATAATATTTGGTGGCAACAATACGAAAAGTAAACCGACGTTTATAGTGAATCAACGCAAAAAACCGAAACGAAATTTATAGCTCTCTGGGCTAATGCCTTTTGGGTTAAAAAAACGTTAAAATTAGCGGGGGAGTTGGTTTTTACTTTTCTGCAGTGCTCTGGAAGTAACGGGAAGCACTGGTGAGCAAATACTTATCGTTTACACAAAAAGGGAGAATCTGCAGAAGCTATATTGTTCATTCGCAAACAAGCACGCATGTAGACTTTCAGTTATACAAATTTTCGTGGTTTAAAGCAAATATCGTTGAAGAAACCTTCCAGCATATTAAGTTGGATGACTCTTGGCAGACCAAACTATCACTGAATTTGCGGCAGCAATAAGTGAGCTTCAAGGTCTCATTTTTCGAATGAAAGCGCTGCTCTTTCAGATTTACATTTGCATGATTCCTTCTTAGATGAAGCACAACAACAACCCAAGATAGTTGGTGTATTTTCTAGCGTATAAGATAATTGGTGTATTTTCGAGGAAAAGGTTACACTTGTAGTATTAGTGGCATATTTTGAAAGTACTACAGGATGTTCATGCATCTGCTTGACACGCTTCATGTAGATTAAAATGTGTTGTAATAAAGATTAAAATTCATGTTGATCTATGTTTGGAGGAAAGCCTGCTAATGAGTTCTATTGCTACTTCATTATCATCAATCCATATTACAATGATATCCCAAGCACTGTTTCTCTACGGTCCCTGACAAATATTACTATTCTCTCCACCAATAGTTGTTGAGGTGTCTTCGTTTTGAAGTGTTGAGTCATTCATTTTACAATAGGTGCCTTTTAATTAATTATTGAAAACAATAACAAACATGATTCAAACAAAATATTAAATATATTACGCGGCACAATGCCGGATCAATCTATGCATTTGTTCTTATCATCGTTCTGTTCTAACTGTATCCCCCCCGTCGGGATAAAAGCCAACAACAGTTCATCCCTTTAGGTAATTTTAGTTGGAACAGTTGTGTGTTGGAACAGTTATTTGCTTTTTTTCAAGAGGGTGCAGGCAGTTTTTTTAGACAGTATCAAGTTTATTTTATTCTAGGCGACTGATTTTTTTTTTTTTTTTTTTTTTTTTTTTTTTTGGCTTTTTATTTAAAAGTAAATTTTCTTTCTAAAATTCTTAATCAAATGTTTTCCACAACTGTTAAAATTTGTGAACATTATATTACATTCATTATTTTAATGCGCTTTTTACAATAGAAATATATAAAAAAAAAAACCTCATAAAAAGTGTTAGTACCAGTGCTCTAATTTCTTGTCACTCACCGGCAGATTGTCTGCCAATTAGGCATTCACCAGGGAACAGTTGAACCCATCAAGCATTTCATAACCTCATACCTGAGAATGTTTACCAGGATGTACCAGAAGATCATAAATGGATAATGCATTTACAAAGTGAGGGGACTCTTTAAAAGTACATTCTTTATATGAAATTCGAACCCGAACCTATCAGGGTGATAAGCAAGTTCCGCCACATGTACTGAAACGCCGTTCAAAAAGGGGAAAAAAAAATCGAATGTATTTAATTAGTTTAAATATCAGCTACCACTATATTTAGAGATGCATTGCAAAGCCGTGACAGCCGTAAAACTACTTTTAGCTTATTTAATCGTAATGGTATATACATATATGTGTGTCTAAGATATAAGAAAATATGAAAGATGCTTTAAAAATAATTGGGGACCTCAAAATTAACATTCTAGATTTGGTGCTCTCCCCATAAATTCATCTGTTCTCCCAAATTCGAGAATCTTCTATGATATGTAACAGTCACAAATTAACCAATCACAGCTTGTCTCTACAGTTACATCAGACTTAGGTATAAATAATACCGCTCTGACGTATTAACTACGTCATTATTCTTCCTTCCCTACTTACCGTTCTGTCAACATTGCGTCGCTTAATCTTTGCTTGACTACGTAATTTCTTGTTAAAAACCAATGTTCATAGAAATTTATCATATTTAATTATGATTTTTATAAGTGTCTGCGAAATTAATTGGATATGTGTAAAAATAAAGATTGATGATTTATCGAAATCCAAGTCGTTATCTTCATCTGTATGCCTTAACCACAGCCATGACCGATATTGAAAGCTATTAAGAGTTCCAGGCTTCGACTGCGCAGTCCGAATCATGATATATATATATAATTGCTAACATTTTACTAGTATTAATATTTGCTAACCTAGTGAAAATCTTTCAGTTAACTTACCCGTAATTGGAGTGCATTTGAATTGGAAATAATGCGTCTTAATTCATTGACGTTGGATTTGAGACGAGCAATATAGTCATCTTCCTGCTCCTCCTCCTGTTTAACTCGAAGATTTGCATGTCCAATATTATTGATACATTCTTTGATCCTCCGCCGACAGCTGGTGAATTTGGCTTTTAAAACTTTTGGATTATCCAAAACCACTGATCTCTGAGCAACTCTCGAGATTTCTGTTGTGGTTTCAGCTCTTGAACTTTCTCTTGCTGTGTCAGCAATAATGGAATCTGAAGCTGGAAAAGTATTCACATTGATAATAACATAAAATAAATAAAGAAAAAAGAAAACAAAAGAAAAGAAAAATTACGTCCAAAGGGAGCGTTTTTTTTTTTTTTTTTTTTTTTTTTTTTTACATTTTGTCTGTTACCTTTATTTATTAAATATCACGTTCTTCGCACTTAATCATGAAATTTAGTTCAAGAGCAATATCGCAAAATAGATTTAAATTGAGCATATCTTTAGAATTTCCGATACAGAGTCTCGTGCGCTGGAGATAAAACTGTTTTTCCTGTACAACGTTGCCATTGCTGGCTTTGAAATCCTTAAGCTTGTTCATCAAAAATTCGTTAAGTTTTACAAGATATGAAATCGATAATAAAACAAATTCCAAATTTCAAATTTGGGCTTTCACATGCCCATATTCGCAGTAGGATTATGTTATTCAAAATTCGATAGCTCTATGTATCATTGTTTTACCACAATGCGAGAAATATACATACATTTATGCAGATTTTTCATTATTTAATTTCTTCAAATATAATGCAGGACTCTTAACATTTGGTGGCAACAGTTTGAAAAGTGAAACGAACATTTATAGCGAATCAACGCAAAATCGCAAAACGAAAACAATAGTCCATCAGGGACAAAGCCCCTCTGGATTAAAAAGGGCTAACTATTTAAATAAAAAAAAAGTATAAGAAGATTGGATTGAACTATTTGTATGCACTATCAAAGAAATTTACGAATTAGGTAAAATATTTAAATGTTAAAAAGAAGCATTCGTTTTTAGTTCGGCTCCCCTCCGAAAAAAAATAAACAAAAATATTATTATGGATTATATCAATATATAAATACGACGGACGAAATAAAAGGTTACCTATCTCGATACAAATGTTTGTTATATATCTGAATTTATGAGATTTTTTTATTGGATTGTATTCACACTTAAATATAATCACTAGCAAAAGTGACAAAAATTCATTACTGTATGAAATTTATGCGAAAAATTAAATTTTATATCAAAAATTAACACAAACATCAACCGTCACTGACAAGGAAATAATGATGATAAAAACATATTTTTGAATTTATTTTATATATATTAATTGAAGTTTTTATTTGAAAGAATTTTTATTTATAAGAATTTATGTATATTAATTGAATATTTTATGTTGTATGAACTTAAATCCATTTAGTGCGAATACAAGTTATTATTACTTGCGCAATTGCTGCAAAGTTAGTTAATAATAATTTATTTCCTAAACAGTATTGATTAATTGATTATATTATCTCCTAAGTTTAATTAAAGTAGAATTATTTTAAAAGTGTGCATCCATACTGGTAACTTATATTTTGAAAGATGTTATGAAGTAATTTGAAAGCAAAATGTTAATAATGTTTTAACGGGGACTGGAGTTAAATCATCACGAAGAATAATATTACAATTGTAAAAGGAAAAATTAAAACATGTAATTATTGTCATTGATCGGAAATTAGTTGACTTTTCAAGGGGAACAAACCAACTCCCGTTCAATGAACAATAATTGATAAAAATACGTAAATATGAAAGTGTTTCGTCTTTACTCGAGTTATAAGTTAAAGCCAAACCGGCAATTCTAGTCAGGCCAAATATTTCCGCGAATAGTTGCCACTCAAAGAACTTATTCTCATGAAGCATTTTAGTCAATTCAATTTGGAGTAAAAATCATACTGTTTAGGAAATAAATTGAATATTTTATATATATTTATTGCATACGTTGAAGTAGAATAATTAGAAAATATTGATTCACGAGTAATGTATGACTAAATGTGTTAGTCAATGCACAAAAATTTTAAAAAGTGAAACGAATTGAATTTTTTAAAATTTTGAAGGAAAATTGACATAATTTAAATTTTACTCTTAGTCTACATCATGAGAAGTAATATACAAACTCTTGTGCGCAAAATTTAAAGAGATTGTATACGGAAATTTAAGTGTTATCACGGTCGCTGTGAACGTAAATCATTAAAAAAATTATCAAAAATGGTATTTAAAGTTTCCAGATTAACATTACGTGAAATATACACAACTATTCACGTTACTAAAAGAAAATGAAAAAATACATAATAAAAATACTTTGCTAGATTCTTCAGACTAATTGAAATGCTTAAACAAGGTTCATAGCCACATTTTAGTTAAAAAAATTAAGCACCTATAAGCACTTTTCAAGCACATTTTAAGAAAAAAAAAAAAAAAAATAAGCACCTGTCTAATTACATCATACACAACTGCATAACCTTAAAAATTAGAATTGTAATTTAAAATATGAGAAATGAAGTACTTATTAAGAGAGAATAAGCATTACCTCAACCATGGAAAATAATAACTTTTTTTTTTAATTTTAAATAACAGTTCAATTTACAGAACTTAAATTTACAAAATTAATGTTTACAATGAGAGAGGAAAAAAAAAAAAAAAAAAAAAAAAAAAAAAAAAAAAAACTATGCAGAACTAAATTATATTACAAGATTTAATGATGAAATTTCAGTTCAAAATAGCGAAAATAAATAATAATAAGGCATATTTATTGTATTCGCTTGGAACCTAATAATAAATACAATTTATTTTCCCACTCATATTGATATTTAAATAATTTAAATCTAAATTCTGAACATTTTCTAAATTTTCATTGTATATCAGTTTTCCCTTAATAGATACTGCAAGCAAAGTAATTTAAGTAAAAAAGAGGAACATTTCTGAAATCAGAAGACAGAAATTTGCTTCATGCAATCATCCTTTAACAGTAAAAGCTTAACCCGGGCAGACGCGCGTGGGGTGTTTCGGCACCCCACGCTCAAAAAAATTCGCTGGCAATCTCCCCCTATAATTCGAAATGCTTAGGTCCATCAGTAGCTGCCTTCAAGGTCATTTTCTATACGTCTCGCGAGGACACGGCAAATTCCGAGCGTTTATTGTTGTTTAAATAATAGTTTGGGGTGTGCCGACACCCCACGCGCGCTTTCGTGTTACTATTTTTCAGTGTGAGCCATGGAGTGTGCAAGTCGCTCTGCGATCTTTTCCTCATTTCACGTATGATCAAGAAATGAAAAGACTTCAAAATTTGTTAAAGGGGGTTTCGTCGGATGAAGATTCTATAGAAGAAGAATCAGAAGCTTCAGATAGTGAAGATATTTTTAGTGATCATGAGTCTGAATCAGAAGAAGAGTGCCACTCTTCAGAAGACATTCCTTGTGATCAAATTGACTATTTTATAGGAAAGGATAAAAATTAGCTCCAATAAGAGATTTATTTGAAAATTTTGTCGAGAATTGACAGAAATTATATCATGTAGAGAAATACGTGACTTTGAACGAAAAGCTAGAACATTTTCGAAGACGATGCTCCTTTCGGCAGTATATACCTAAGAAACCTGCAAGATATGGTATAAAGATATTTGCTATGGTTGATTCTAGAACTATCTATGCTTTCAACATGGAGATTGACGCATGTCAGCAGCCAGATGGGCCGTGCAAGAAAGTCAGCAGTTCTAGTGAAATAGCAAAGCGCATTCTAGCTCCATTATACAAATCCGAAGATACTTTACCACAGACAATTGGTATACCAGTTATGAATTGGCCAATTTCTTACAAAAAATGATTTGATAAACCACAAAAAAAGAAAAAAATATAATACAGGAGATGTTACATGTGCTCAAAGAGAAAAAGACAGAAAATCAAAAACTATATGTGTGAAGTGTAAAAAACATATGTCAAGAGCATTGTAAAAGAGATATTTCATGTATATATTGCAAAATATGTATATATTGTATTTCATGTATATTTTGCTTCTTGGGCCTAATTGATTTCAATATTAATTATACAACTCGTTGTTCATGTAATAATTTGGATTATAATTACATTCACAAATAAAAAAAACATTTCTCATAGAAATCAATGATTCATAGACATCTGAAAAAAATTATCTATTAGTTATTAATTTTAAAATTAGCATTAATTTAAGCTGTTCTATATAAAAAATATTGCAATTAATACAGAATGCATTCTTTTACTGAATTGTAGTAATATATTTAATTTTTAAGTCATTTAATTGCTTGGGGTGTGTTGACACCTCATGCGCGTTCTCGTGTTACATAATACAACGTAATTCACTATTTCGCTAAGTTTCAAATGTAAACAAATACGGCTGCTATGGTAAAAAAATTAGGCTTAGCTGCACTTAAACAACTTTTAAATTTTACTATTGCAAGCAGATTAACTAAAAGCATAAAAACCTTAACCGGAAGATAAGAACAACATAATTCAATCATTTTTAAAGCAAAATATGCACAGTTTACCAACATATATATAAAAACATTTTTTTTTTTTTTTTTAACTGAGCTCAGGAAGCCGAGTAACAGACTGGATGTATACATATATACACTTCCTTTTTAATAGCTTTTTTTCCATGGAAAACGTAAATATATCAATAACTTTTTTCCATGGATAACGTAAATACGAACCATTTTTTCTTAGAGACTCCTCCAAGCATGAATCCCTCTATCAGGGAGATTGTGTTACGTGCTTTACCTGAATGAATTAAATATCCAAGCTTTCCATTCGTGTTCTTGAATGAAAGGAACAAACTGGCAGTTGCACAATTACACTACTTCTGAACAAAAATTTCACATAAAATCTAATCCGGCGTTCTTTGATCTTTGGTATGTAAGAAACAAATTTAATATTGGTAAACAGAGGGTTTTGCAAAGAAGCTTCCTGCTAGCATGTCGCTATTAAATATAACAGCAGACTCGATTTCATCTTCTTCCATCAAGAAATGACCTTCACCATGACTAAAGTAATTAGTTTTACCAGTTTAATTATTTTAGAAAAATTTCTAGAATATTGTTTTAGTAAAAATCCATCATATTTTAACTTATTCGACCTTTTTCTGCGTCTCAGATATTTAATATATGAGAATGCAAAGTGATTATAAATGATTCATCGGGTTTCAAAATATATAGCACATAAAACAATA